ATAAATTCTTACTTTTTATAAACTTGACTCTGTCTGAATTGATACGAAGGGTTAGGGTTAGGTGTTTGATCCCTGAAAGGCAAAGAATCCTAGAATCTTCTGATTAAACATCCAAAGACCAAGGAGGTTGATGTTCTATATTTATATAGAATATCACATCTTATTGGTCATAAGTAAAGGTAATATATTAAGCTTAAAAGCAACAATATTTAACCCTACAAGCGTACTTCAAAGCCAAGGAAAAAAATAAATCACAGCCTTTTAAAAATGTTATAGTCATTTGCTAGCGCTATTAGTTGCATTTGCAAATGTACAGTGGTGGCTAAAGCTGAGAAATTAGCTTACCTTGAGGAATATTCCATCCCAAGGTGAAATTTAGTCTGTTGCCATATTTTCAAGAGTTGCATAAGGGAGAAAAAGCCATTTGTAGCCAGTCCGGTCATTTTCATAATCTAGCAGTATTCTGTTAGCGTTAGCTTAGAATAAACAATGTAAGCGAATGGTAACAGCTAGCGTTTTGTGTGAAAAGGTCTTGAAATTACATAATAAAGATCCTAATTGATCTTGGCAACTTCAATAATCACACAAAGAAATTACAGGAGCTGATTTATACTTGGGACTCCAATACAACAAAGCACCGCTGTAAGCCGCTGCTGCAAGGTGCATGGACACCTATGTCATCTGCATTTACTCTTCCATTTTTGTGAAACTTACTATGCTGGTCTTTCCAAAAACTGTACTGGTTTGAGGCTAAGAGCCACAAACTTGTATTTACAGAAGTAGATGTCTTTTGCGTTGTGTGCTTGCAGCTTTCCTTTGTCATAATGTAGTCCCAAGTCAAAATCAGCTCACCATTACTGAAGTCACCAAGAAAAATTAGAAATCATATTGAGCCACTTTTATTACTTTTTTCACAAATTGTTACCATTCACCTACATTCTTTATGCTAAGCTAAAGCTAATGAAATAGTACCAGATTAGTAGAATGTGTTGTACCACTTATCTAACTCAGGGGAATATTGCAACAGATTAAATTCACTTAGGGTGGAATATATTTTTAACTTTTATGAACTTCTTTGTTTATTTTAGCTGTTTTAGGATGCAAAAATCCACTTTGGTCCCAGCTACACATTGGTTTGTTCAGTGAGGCCCAAAGTGGATTACTACACACACCTTATAAAACTTTACACCACCACCACATTTTGCATTGCAAGATTATTTATAAATAAAATAATACTAATTTGGTAGCTGTTTTAGTGGCAGAAACAACCAGCTGCTATTTCAAGCAGAAACATAATAATATTTCTGTCAACATAACCCTACAATACAAATTGGACAAAGTTTAAAGTTTTAGAATATAGAATTTGTGCAAATTTTTATATATTTTTTAGTTAATCAGCCCCACCTGAAGTAGCTGTAACTTCCAGATTTATTTCCTTATTTATCTTTAAATGATTCACTGTTTGATTAATTATGTGTCATTTTACATGCCACCTTCAGATAGTGCTGTATAAAAGGCAGCCTAAGGAGTCAGATGACGATTTTACTGCAAGGACAATACTAATCTAGCTTTTAAAGGATAAAAATAGCAGAAGAAATAAACCTGATTGAGTTTTTTGTACACACCCAGGAGCGTGTCCAGAGGGGGGCATGGGGGGCACGGGCCCCACCCTCTGGACATACCCCTACACACAGTCAGTATCAAATCAAATCAAATCAACTTTATTTATATAGCACTTTTCATACAAAAAATGCAACTCAAAGTGCTTTACAGATTAAAATGGCCGTATAGATTCCATATTCCCATCCCAGCCCCCCTCCCAAAGTTTAAAACAATTAACAATTACGTTCCCCTCCCGCATCCAACTTCCAAAGTGGACATATAATCACCCGCACACTTGTCCATGCACACACACACACACACACACACACACACACACACACACACACACACACACACACACACACACATGAACACCAGAGGAAACAATAGGCTGAGTTCAGATGGGTCAGGTAATGAACGACACATCATCAGCAGAGCCATCTGCCCTGGCAGCAACAGATCCACGGCAGCAGCCAAGACACCAGCCCATGACGCCCAGTGGCGGTAGGGCAGAAACCCCCACTACTGCCTGAGCACTACCCGTGGAGCGCTCTGGCCGCCTCCGCCCCTGACCACCGGCCCCAAGGCAGAAGACTCCGCAGAGGAAACACCGGAGGATTTAAGATATATAACATGTAAAATAACAAAAGCTAATATGGATAAAAAGTAACTGATAAAAAGTGATTATAAAGATAGTGAAAGAAAACATAATCATGTAAAAACACTAAGATGTAGATAAAATTATAAAATTAATTAAAAGAGATAAATATGTATATATAGATAAATAGTAATCAGTTAAAAGCTAAGCTAAAAAGGTGGGTCTTGAGCCTATTCTAGATATGTGTATGTTTTATTTCTGTATATCGCAATCTAATAAATGTGTTTTAGAATCAAGATTTGCCTTTTTTTTCTCAATAATTGTTACCTTGTTTATAGGTTTCACATGTGGAATTGTAATAATTTCACCAATTTGAGGAAGCCACTTGTGTGTGTGTGTGTACATATCTTATTATGGTAGCTGTTAGCTCATCAGTTAGAATTAAAGTATTTTTCCAAATTATTGGCAATTTAAAATATAAATAATAAGTGTAGAAAAGCCACTCAGAAGTCAGTGACGAAAGCTTTTTTTCATATATATGCTAAAACAGTGCAAGCTGGGGCAGTTAAATGACAATTATTTGAGCCCAAATCAGAGGAAATTTTTGATTTTTACACCTCATGAAACTGACCTTGAACCTCACTGTCAATGGATCATCTAAAACATTTCATGAGCCGTTTTTCACGCTTAATACACAATTCAAATGGCAGTCACGCTAGTGTTGCAGCCAGTCAGGAACGACACAATGCAACGAAGCTTCATGGCGTAACCTGATAAGCCATCCAATTATTCTGCAGCGGATGTCATGACAGCATAGAAACAAGGCTACCTCCCTCAGTCACAACGATTCTCAGTTAGGATGGCATGAATACAAACACACACACACACACACACACACACACACACACACACACACACACACACACACACACGGAGTGAGAGAGACTACGTTAGTCACACTCGGCCAGATTATTAAACCCTTTTGAAAATGTTAAAAATAAACTTTGTTGTCTGGGTTTATAATAAGATCCTGATTTCCACTCAGGAAGCAGGACAGGATGGTTTTAAATGTGAAGGTCATTTACGTAATGCATTTAGAGCACTAATAATTGTTTTTAGAAAATAAATAAATCCTTGCAGCAAAATAATCCACACAAACTGCCATCTGTACAAGTTGGCCTGATAACACAAGCAGCTGCACGTTCACATCAAGAAAGAAAAAGTTACAAAAACAGAGTTGTGTAAAACCCTGATTCTACCTCATTTATATATTTTAAGCCTAAATACAGCTTTAAAAAAAGACAAGAATACACACGGGTCTTGTACTGAATCAAACTGGAACCTCATTGTCATCACTTTTCTTTATCAGTGACACCATCTTCATGTTCAGTGACGACTGATTAAAGGGGATGATGATTAATAGGGTCATTATAAAAACTATTTCTGTCACATAGTAATGCTGATGTACTTAACATGGAAGATTAATGTTTTTTTCCTCAATATTAAAAGGCGCATTCATGAAAATGGACATTTTATCAAGCAAGACATTTTGTATATTCATTCTTTTTCCAGGAGTAACACTGTTTATGACTTTAGTTATTGTAGTTCTCGGATTGAAATAAATCAATTTAAATATGGAAAGTAAAAATATTTTACATAAACTGAAAAAGAGTGCAAATTACAGACAAAACATAGACCGTTTTTAAAGATTAATGCTAGATTGATAAATTAAAAGGACATTAGAGCTATTGGAGATTAGAAAAGAGAGGAAGTGATACAGAAAAATTGAAAAACCAAAAATTATTTTCCAAAATTCCAAAATGAATGTGAGTTACATAAAACACTTGGATACTCAATGATTTTGCAAAGTTTAAAATTTACCAAACAATAAGCCAAAGTTACATTTTCAGAAATTTACAAAAAGAAAACAAATATTTTCGGGTGCAGATTTGTCAAAATAAAAAGCTGAAAATGATCTGAGATTAAAGTGATACGTTTACAAAGGGGAAAGCACAAAATCATTACCTTTTTAATCACTTTTGGATTTCTTAAAGCACCTGGTGATTTTGATCTTGAAAGATAAATGCAACCCTAACCCTAATTCATGACAATATTGTCATAATTAAAACAAAACTTCATCACTTCACCCTGGTTCTGCAAATTTGTTTTTTATCTTTAGATTTTGATATTTCTGTTTATTTATTTGCCAGGTGTTTGAGCCTCCAAAGCCTAATTCTCTCTGGCTGAAGTGGCTTCATAAATATGAAATAGTTTTTACTGAGCTTTGGTTCAGCAAACCACAGCTTTCAACAACATGTCATTTAAAAAAAACACTTCAGTACACTTAGTGTTTCTCCACAAAAACGTCATTTTGCAAATTTTGATCTTGGACTCAAAGCTGAAATAAATAAATAAATAAATGAATAAATAAATGAATAAATAAATAAATAATCTGCATTTAAAAACAACAACTGATCTAAGTAATGAGCTCACATATTGGGATGCTGGAGCCAAAACATTAATTAATATAATCTGATAATGACAGATGAAGTAACTCATGAAGGCCACATGACCTTTCAAATAATAAATTCACTTCCTATATGATAATGTTGTTAAAAACAAACTCCAAAGCAGAGTACATGTATAAAATCCTCATTGATACAGAGCTGTTTTGCACATTTTATCTGGCAGTTTTATAAAATTACAACCACAGCTTGCTGTTTACACATAACATGGAGCATGTTGGAGCAGTTTATATATATATATATATATATATATATATATATATATATATATAAGCAGCCTCCCTGATTTAGTTCTTGCTTGAGACTATATTCAGTGTTGCTTTGCTTTCCCCTTGAGGACTGGAGTATTTTTTGTGTGAAATTTTAGGGCAATTGTTGCCACTTTGTGTGCTGCAGACAGGAAACTGTCTCTCTGAGGAGACCTCCGGAGGACTCAGAGCTGCATCACCAGAGACGGATTTGGAGAGGGGCTCGACCAGCCTGGCAGAGATGGAGAAAAACAAAACAGAGGAGTAAAGTGTTGTTGCAGAGGTCGGAAACCTTCCATTTTCATCCAGAGGATAGGATTTCAGGATTGGGTTTTAAAAAAGGGGCAAAAGTCTAGAGTTTATTGTGAGAAGTAATCAGAAAGACATTTAGCTTTTTATCTATAAAAAGATTTCTGGGAAAAATAACTTCTGGCATAAAAGTCATTCGTTTCGTGTCATTTCTAATGAAAATTGATGCTAAAACCAAAAGCAGATGATCAAAAAAAGAGGTTAATAAATGTGATTTAATCTGGATTAAAGATTAAACTGTTCTTAACTTTGATGATGAAAAAGGCCAAAATTATCATATATTTATTAGGAGTAGGAATTCAATGCATTAATTATGATGAATTAATTAGAAAAAAACATGTTAAAAATGTACCCCTTTGAACTTGAGCGTCCTCCAATTAGGGGCCGTAAAAGTTTAGTATCACAGTGTATGCCCTACATATCAATAAACATCATCAAGCTGCACCTCTAACAAGACTGCAGAGCCTGAACCATATAAATATTTTTTACATGCTCCAAACAAAAATACTTCTACAATTAAATGTATCATAATACATCGCTCTTCATGACGAAAAGAAAGGAAGACATTTTTTTTATCGTTTTGTAGTTGCTAGAAAGCGGGCAGCCAGTGCCTTTATTCATGTGAACTTTGTTAGAACATGAGGGACAAGCATTCACACAGCATTCATCTTGTAACCCTCAGCAGAACTTCCCCTGAACTCTACACTACACCTTAATGTATATTAGCAGTGTCGTGCTGCCACCTAGTGTTCAGTTCACTATCCAACATTTACAATATTCCATGTCCATTTACACTTAAATCAAAAAACACGTACTAGTATTTACACATCCTAACAAATCCCACAATGGTTACCTTTATAATGAAACAAAAGTAATCTAATAGATCTTGTGGTTACAGAAATATACTTATCGGTGTGGGTTTTTTATTTTAAAAAATTGCTTGCAGTTTGTCTAAACTGATTAAAATGTGATTAATCATGATTAATTAATTACAAAGCCTATTAAATTAAATTAAATAATTAGGTTTTTTCCCATTGAGTCCCAGCCCTAGTATTTATATATTATTATTGTTACTGTTATTATTATTATTATTATTATTATTATTATTATTATTATTATTATTATTATTATTATATGTTTAAGGTAGTAACAATGATTTTTAATTTTTTCTTTTGCTTTTGCAAGTATGTGTTTCCATGGGATTAATTGGTAGTTAACTATTAAAATTCACGTTTAATAAAAAATTGGCTTAAAATTCCGCTTAAAGTTCTGTTATCAGTTATCACGCAAGTTTTCTATCCAAAGAAACCAAGCCAACAATGACTTGTCAGTGTTTTTTTTTAGCAATCCTCATGCTGAGCAAGTACGTAGCGACAGTACAGAGGAACACTCCCCTTTAACAGGAAGTAGTTTTTTTCTGACAAACATTGAAATACATGATCTACAGGAAACAGTGGAGCAGGAAAACACTTGTAGGATGAAGTTTTTCATAATGTTTCAGTAGTGATATAATTTTCGATTTATTGTTTTCTTCTATTTGAACTCCTACTATTTATCTTGCAAAAGGAATAAAACAGTTCTATTTGTTAGCACTTTTGCTACAACAAAAAGAAACAAAAGCAAAAGATAGTAAATAAATTAAAGAAACAAAGATTTAGATTTTGGGTTGATTGATGACGAAATACAAACCATCACTTACCCGATTCTGCCTCCTCTACCTCCATGTTGCTGTATATCAATAAAGAAAATATAAAAACAACATGATATATTCAAATAAAAATTAGAAAGAGAAGAACTGTGGACACAAATTAAAAGGTTAATTTATTTCCGTATTCCAGGAACTGCATTCTAACCCTAAACTAAAGGTTGGAGGTCTATTTACATTAAGTCTCCTCTTGCAAAAAAGAAGAATAATTCCATTGTTTAAATTTGCTTGTTTAGTTCTTGGACTATTTGGATTGTGGGAATTAAGATGATTTACTGGTGTCAGCTGCAGCTGGAGATGCTAAACTATCAAGATTTGACCTCTGGAACCTTGAGTGCTTCAAACATCCAATTAGAGATTTAAGAGGTTTAAGGTGGACTTCCCCAGAAAATAAAAGGTGCAGCATGTTTAAATGTTCCAACGTATTCATAGTCAGAATGAACTGATATAATGTGTTTTTAAAATGTTATAGCTTAGATCCTTTTAGACAGTGTTCAGGGCTAAGTTGCATCATGTTTTGACATCATTTAATTTGATTTTCTCTCCAAAGTTTCTCTTTATATGATTTATTTTGTGACCATTTATGTCATCTGTGCTGCTGTTTCTTCTATTTATGAGGTCCTTTTAGTTTATTACACCCTCAGTGCAGCATTGTATTATATTGCTGTAACAGCTCTGACACTTGATGAGATCCAGAATAGAATTTATCCGCCAACTCTCTTGGGAATGTTTGCTTTAAAACATCAAACCTCTTTGATGCTTCCTCCATAAAAGTCCAATTAAGCATTTTAAGTTTAATTCTCAGTCCTTTTGAAAATTCCTTAAAGTCAGGTCCAGCACTTTCTCACTGCTGCACAGAACACAGTCACATTGTTTTACCATCAATCTCCATCCAGCTAGCTAACACGCTGACAGTCTGTCACAACAAACAAATCGGTTTCCTCAATGAGTCGCCACAAGTTGAGATGGGTGAGTCCATGTGAGGGGCAACAGGGAGCAGTTCTAAGGCTTTTAGTAGGGATGTCCCGTTCCGACATCTATGTCCTTGGGCAAGACACAATCCCCGTTGCCTGCTGGTGGTGGTCGGAGGAGCCTGTGTCGCCAGTGCTCGGCAGCCTCGCTTCTGTCAGTGCACGCCAGGGCAGCTGTAGCTAAATCATAGCTCATCCCCACCAGTGTGTGAATGTGTGTGTGAATGAGTGAATGACTGATTGTGTTGTGAAGTGCCTTGGGGGGTTGCAGAACCCTAAGAAGGTGCTATTCAAATACAGGCCATTTACCATAAAGCCAAGTTAAATGGATCATTGGGAAAAAATAATTATTAGAATTTGTCAAAAAATGTCACATTTGAACATTAATAGTTTGGATGAACATGTAATTAATTCAGTCATTTTGTGTGTATTTATGCATAGGGTGTTATTGACGTTATGACCTTTAAACCCACCTTGAACTGTAAAAATAAAAGGTTTTGTCTCAAAATTTGTGTGATGTGTAATGTTTGTCTCAGAGAAAAGTGGGCACTGTCATACATTCAGTGTGTAATTCATTGTGTTCCCTTTAGACGATTGTGTTTTCAGTTTTGCTCTTCAGTGTTCTTTCCATGCTTGGTAGTGTTCACCCAAAGGCTACTTGTGTTTAAGCAATGAGTGGTATGTGTGTGTCATGTGAAAATGTGGCTGTGTTTACCAAATGAAAACACGTGTTCCATTTTGGGAACATGTTACGATATGTGGTGGCAGGGTTTTGTTGCAAAGGGAAGCCACGGTTTAGGGTTTTGTGTGTGCAGTTTAGAAAGAAACGTACAGTTTTGAAAAAACGTGTTTTAGCAATCGAAAAAAACTGTAAAATCCCAAAGAAAGTGAGATCATCAGACAAAATCTTCACAAGAGAGCGTTCACATCTCTGTATCCACAAACTGAATTTTCTTCAATAAATAAAGGTTTTCCATATTTTTCTTTTCTTTACCTTGAGAATGGGATGTCGAGTCCATCCTCCACATCCTGTTGAGTCAACACACACATAGAAATGTCAGAATAAAGTCCCAAATAAACAGCAGTTCGTCAGAAAATAACAATTTAACCCAACCCCTGTTTTAATTGTTATTTCTGATCCACATAAAAGATCTAATATAACTAATACAATCACCGAGATTAAAAGACAATTTCTCTCAAAAGTAAAATTTTGTTAAAAACAAACCAGCAGGAACGGATACAGACCAGTATATAGAAGGGATACGATGCCACCTAGTGTTGAACATCACTAACTGACCACAAGGATGTTTAATGGTTGAAATTTCATCTATAGACCTTAAATGAAGTTGAAGTCTCTGAACAAAGCATTAACCAACAAGATCAACACAACCCTAAACGCTAAAAATGTGCGACCCACCCATGAGTCGTGTTTGATCGGCCGCCGTCGAGTTGGGTTGCAACGAGGTGACGGTGAGCCGAGGGACGCAGAGAAGAAAGGCCCCCGGAGCCTCTCCTCCATCCCGATGGATTTACACGCAGCTGGGTGTGAGGGGGATGAAAGGTGTGGGAGAGAGGCTGACAAAGCAGGAGAAGCATGAAGCGGTGGCACGAAGAGGAGCAGGAGACAATTGGGAAGAAAAAGACAGAACACATAAAAGAGGGGAGACTTGGTGCAATCTCATCTCAGAAACTTCTCTTATGTTTTTCTCCATCCTTTAACATTTCTCTTGCAGTGAATTCCTCCAGAAGTCCAAAAGGTCTCAGTTTACAGCAGGTAATTAAGTCTCATCCTGTGACTGTTTTCAGGAGGCAGATACATTTTTACCTATAAATGTCACTGCCGTTGAAGGCCACTTAAAGTCTAATTGTAGTCATAATGAGATGATTTTGTTCTCAGTGTGAATGAGATGGGATGGTTGAATCCATGTGAGAGGGAGTCCAGAAACCAGCTTCATTAGGGTGAACTGGTAAAGGTCATAAAAAGAATCAGTAGACTTCCCCATGAATAAAACATAAATAATAATAATAAATAAATAAAATCCCAAGGAATCTGCATCTATATAAGTACAGATTTCAATAAAGATGTATGTTTTACATAATAATCGGTGGTCCTTCAGTGACCTTGTAAACATTCAGTTGAGTAAAAGACAGGCGCTGCATGCGAACAGGCAAGGCAGGCAATTGCTTGGGGCCCCCAGGTCACAAGGGGGCCCCAGTGTGCAGGTAATATTTGCCATTTCACAGCACAGTTGGCTGACTAACAAGGCCCTTTCCCTCTGAATACTAAGCCATAGACCTCAAACACACATTCACACATACTTGTCTCTGTATCTTTATGGGGACTCTCCATTGACTTCCATTCACTTTTGGAACTCCACTATGTCTAATCCATATCCTAACCTTAATTGATGCTGTTCTACTCCTAACCCTAATCTAAACCAAAAGTTAATTCACTCCATACCTCTAAAACCAAAAATGAAGAAAAAGAAACACACACACACACACACACACTTGGATTACTACACTTGTGGGGACCTGCCATTGTCACTGTCATAGTGGTGGCCTACGTTGCAGCTTAGACCTGGAAAAATGTCCCTAAAATGCAGTGTACACACACACACACACACACACACACACACGCGCGCGCGCACACACACACACACACACACAAAACAAAATCATCGTACCTGTTGGAACACACTGCTTCTCTGTCATCTCCATCTGTCCTCCACTAGCAGCACAGGAACAACAGGTCCTGGCCTTCTTGCTTTTGTCTGTAATCACAGAAAACATTTTCAAAACCATCAATTCGATCAGAAATTTTTGCCAGTTTGGTTTTTAAATAAACAGTTATTAGTTACATAAAATCCTCCCCAACACTTTGTTGAGGACTCTTACCTTCCTGAGCAACCTCCCAAAGATCCAGAGCTACTTTAAAAGCCTGAGCTACTGTTAACGTCACTGCCTGAGCCTGGAGGGGGACAGAGAGCAAAAAATCCAAAGTTAAAAACAAACATAACAAAAAAATACTCGCATAGGCTGATATTTATGCTATGAACATCATCAGATTTGTTTTATTAATTCTAATCTGAGGTTTTGCCATATTACATGTTTTGGATTTTATACCATTCAGTGGAGAAACCAATCTGTTTGTGCAAAGTCTCCTTAACCCTGCTGAGAACTTCCAACAATTTCTGGATAAATGATAATTATATTTGTATAAATTTATTTTAAAAGAAAAGAAAGATATTTCTAATCCAATCAAAATAAATAAATGAATAAAATAAATAGACTAAATAAGCCAAGAAAAAATCCCACACTAATTCTCTATTTGTATTTGTAATAAGAAAAAGACAAACATGAGAGCTCTACTCACAGGAACCTCATCTAAACTGTTTATACAAATTCTGCTCTTTAATATGAAATATATAAATCTACATAAATGTGACTGATTCGAAATTATTTAAAAAAAGCACAGAAGGATTAAGCTTTAGGATTTAAATAATTTGGCTGTAGGCTCCTATAATGAATCAAATGCACTTAACATGTCAACATGGTAATGGCCACAATGTGGCGCCAGATACCAAAATATTTATATTCTATTTAAAGTTTGGTTATTCTTGGAATAATTATTTGACCATCCAGCTCAGGAGTAAAGGTTTAAAAGCTCCCTATAGCTGCTGACTGATACGTTTATGGAGTCTATGATTTTACTCACAATTTTTCTCTTTTGGCAGAGAAAGGCGTGACACTCAAGAGTCTCATTAAACTGACTCTGAGAGACGTAGGCGAACACCTTATCCTGAGTTTTATCTGCTGTGCAGTATGAGATTCTGGAAGATAAACAGAGAGACAAAATAAAGGAGAACATTATGTTATTTTAATTTTTATCATAATGTACTTAATAATTGTCAATTCATGGTGATAAATGATCAGTTGTCCCAAAAACAAGTTCCACAGCAAAGTAATATTTTGTATCTTCTATCAAAAACATTCATGAATAAACTTCCCAAATAAAAACAAACCTTTAGTCCAAGAATATGGACTCATTGCTGAGACAGGAAAAAAAACCTAAAAGCATAATAATAATAATAATAATAATAATAATAATAATAATAATAATAATAATAATAATAATATAAGAATAATAATAAAAGCATACCAAAACATTTTTAATCCCATAACTGAATGATTTGCTTTGTCAGAGGCAGTATTGATCTGGAGCTGCCGTGCCTCTCTGGGGTTACCTGAACCAGCATTGTGCATCATGCTGGGTGCTTTAAATAGATGTGTAAACGAGCCACGGCAAGTGATGCACTTGACCTTTGTCTCTATACAGACTTTATCTGAGGCTGCACAAGGACAGCTGGGGGCCTTGTCTCTTCGTACAGCAGGTTTAAGCCTGAAAACGCTCATATGAGACCTTTATTTCCCCCAAAGCAGAACTGATCAGAGACTTCAAAGGTGTATGAAATAAGAATGGCACCTTGTGGTCAGATTTGGGTACTGCAGTCCATGCATCAAAACAAACAAGTTCTCTCTGAGCCACTGTAGTCAGCTATGAATCAGCGCAAGAAGACTCTAGATAACAAGTGACGAGGCATACACAGTTAGTTGAAAACTAGATAACTGTTTTGTGATTTAAAAGTAGCTAGAGATGATTTTAGCGTTGTTAGCTCAACGTTAGCCTCTAGCCTTCTTTCATAGATATTAGAGTAAAACAAAAATGGATGTTGTGGCTTCTTAGGGTTACGGAAAATGATCCACGAACCGTAGTATGCAGCAATTAGCTGAAGTTAGGGTGTGCATGTGTTTCCAGCGGCTGTGAAGCGTTTGGAACTGTTCCAGAAGCATGGGGGTGCGTGTCTCCGTTTAACTTACGCTTTGGGTCTATCTTGCTAAGCTTCCAGAACTCGTCAAACTCTGCAGTTCGGATCAGACCACATAGGAAATTAAACACAAAAGCAGTGTAAAACATCTGAAAACTTTCAAAATAAAAGTTGCATGCAGATTTCCAGTTGTTTAGCTAATAAACAAAAAGAACATCACTGCCTGTGACACATCCGCTGCTGAGGTAAACTGAACATAAATGAAAATCCTTGCTTGTTATCGCGTGAAGTGTCAAAATCACACATGGCCATGGAATTCTCTCGTGATTTTGTGACCTCGTGGGACTAGCTCCCTGGAACACTTTCACGTCTGAAACACTTGTGCTGAGCAGCTGGAAAACCAGGATTAGATTAACAAAAGATAACTTCTGGATTCCTCATTTTACTGGCTCCTTTTCTGTCCACAACACTGCTGCTTTTTACCAGCCAGTGTTGAATTACAAATGCTGGAGCACTGTTTTTGTTGAAGATTTGGCAACCTTGCAGGCTCACATATGGTTGACTCTGGAATCAGGAAGTATGGGGGCTAGACAGACTGTAAACAAAGACTGCGTGCCTCTTTGGCTTTTGGCCTGAGAAGGACTATGACCATCTTTCCAACATGATTGAGACATTAGACTGTTTAGTGATAATTTCCCTGTTAAATTCTTACTTATTGCACCTTTAAAGGACCAGATGAATCTATTCAGCTCTACGTGGATCAGAGTATAATCTACCATCATTACAGCAACATGTAAACTGTGCAAAAAAATTTAAAAAGAGGGATTTGTGGAGCCTCACTTCAAAGAGGAGGGGGAGGGGGTGAAAAATGAAGTAATTTTTCAGATCAACTAACAAGCATGAAATCAGCGGCGCTCACATCTCCTTCTCAGATTGTTTGGCTGGCTTGCAACACTGATGCATGACCCACATAGCAATGCCCGGGACACACAGCTCTCCCCTCACCCTCCTACTTCCATTTGGGGATGGGATTGCAGGAATATGAACAGAGAAAAAGATTTTTGACCTCTTTAAGGCTGAAAATCAAGTGGGGTGTTACCAACAACTCAATATAATCTCAGTAAAAAGTTAATATCTAATGACGGTTTTCCACAACTTGACAAACTGCAAGAAAAAATACCAAATGCCACTAAGATGAGGAAGAAACATGACAGACAGGCAACAGATCTGAATATGAAAGGCAAATAATTCTTGTTTTAATTAGATTTAAAACAATTTTATATGTAATACCACTTTTCAAGTTGCTTTGATTTCATCCCTTTGGATTAACACACCTGACTGCATTTCACTGACATTTTTTAGATGGTTGCATTCCATTGTTGCAGCTTAACATGTTGGCTGTTGTATAAAAATGTCTTTTAAATGGAACGCAGCCCCTATTAATACACCTATACTTCCCCTTTTTTTCCAACAGCTGAGGCATTCCAGGTCGCCTTTCAGCATTGTGTGCACCAAAAAGCAACATGACGGTTACAGAAAGGGGTAAAAATTACATATTTAGTGCTCGTGTGTCCTAAATATTAAACAAAAGATCAGTACGCTTAGGATGTTTTTAAAGAGTGCAAAGAAGTAGATAAAAATGTAACAACTTGCTAAAATAAAGGGTTTGGACTGCAGAGCAGCTGAGGAAGCAAAACATATGTTCATGTGCAAAATGAGGAAATGGGTCAATGCACACACACTTCACGAGTGACTGGCCAGCATATCTAATTACTGTCTGCACATCAGAAAGAATCTGTGACATCAGCAATCAGTTGAGTATAAAATAACATAATGGTTGCATATAGCAGTAGAAAACTTGGAAACGTGAGCATACGGCTTAAAATTAAAATATCATCAACCTATATTTGACAATTTCATAGATTATACTTTTGAAAAAAAAAAACTCCAATTTTGACAAAGAAGTTACCAAAAAAATTCAATAAATATATTTATGTGACAAGACTTTGTGTCATATTCACAGTTGTGGCCTTCAGCTTGAACAAACAAAATAATAATAATTATGGGCACGCCGCTGAGCTTGAACAACAAAAGCTGACCTGTCAGATTGCATCTCATCTCCAAAGGGCCTCGCTGGACTGTACGCCTTTGATCTTCTCTGCGTGGAGCACCGGCGCATGTGAGGCAGACAGTGAATAATATTGGAAATATTTAAATATTTACAGAACAAAGCCTCAACAGGATGGCATGCATGACAGCCAGGTAAAGTCAATTTTTAAAAATCTGCTGCTTGTGTTTTACTTTGAAGCAACTAGAAAGGTGAAAATTGGAAAGAAAACAATTTATAGTCCAGACTTTTTCCTCCATCACTAATAAAAATAAAATATGAGGAAACTGAGTTGTTAAGCATCGTCAGTTTCTGTAATCTCAACTCAGAGATCTGACAGACACGTTTCAGAGAGTCAGAGCAGCGAGCATCATTAGCAGACGAGCTGTCAGTGTTTCATCGCTGTTCTTTGACCTGATTGATATGCTGGTTGGTCAGTGATGTTGTCATGAGAATATGAAATATTAACACAATCAGATAGAAGCTGAACATCCTCACTGTGGGTTTGAAAGGAATTGTGTGCTGTTATTTATTTTTTCTTACAAAAATTAAGGACAGTTTTGAATTAGTTTCTAGACTGAGGTCAAGATGTTCTGGTAATAAAATCCTCCCAACGGTGGTCAATCCTCGTAATCGAACCAGCCAAGTAACCAGAGGCTCAAGTAAGTGGCTGCATTGATGTCAGGCCCACACCTTTACTCCAAGATCAAATATCAGCAATGTGTACACTGTAAGACCTAAAATGTGTTCTAACTTTAAAAAACCTGAACAAATGGACTGCATTAGGATTTGATGTTGAGTTAAATTTTGTTTAATGTTTTCTCAATGAAATTTTTGGTTTGACTATTGTTGCAACTTCCATTTCAATTAAACTTGATGAAAATCCTCATTTGAGTCAACATTTTCTTCTAGTGAAATCAGTTTAGACTAGTGTTTTCAATCAAATGCCTAGAGTGGTGGTTTGACATTTTTAAGCATAAGACTGAACAAAAACAATATTACTTTAAATATTCTTCTCACTATAATTACATGAACTGTTGAAAGGCTCCATGTACCACGTTTGATAGAAATCAATTCAAACTCCAATTAGCAAAACAGTTTTCATAACTTTGGAGTTAGGTGGCAATCCCAACCCTAAACCAAAACACAAATGTGATGATGAAGCAAGTTAAGTCAACATCTATCACTAAGCTAACTAAGCAACATTTAAATGCAAGTTATTTTTATTTTATCCTAACTAAATAAAAATAATAATAATAAAAGACAGACTGGCACAAAAAAGTTGAAATAATATTTGTCCAAATGTGAACCAAAAAGAAACATGTTTCACAATAAAAGTCTGCATTAAAATGTAAATTCCATTAATGAAAATACTTTACACTGTAAATTAATGTTATTAAAATCCGATTTCTGGGCTGTTGCAGAACTTGGCTCAATGCTTAGTGACTGAAGTACAGGAACACTGAAATAATCCATTTAATGGTGAAATAATCTAATCTTTTTGTGGTGCATATTAGATACACTGTAAAAATGTGTCAATACATACTTTTAAATCAAAGTAAACGTAAGTGCTACTTATAGAAGTTGGTGCTACACTGTTTATGTGTGTAGGAGTTTTCACTGCCAATGTCATCTGTTGGTATCTTCTGTTCCCTCTCTGCTAAGCTGCCCCCAAAGGAAACAACTTAGTTTACAGATAGAAGGAATACACACGTATCTCTACGGACACAAACATTTGCACACATGCTGAATGCGTAAGCACACCACTAGTGCATTCAAGTGTTTTTCTCTTAGCTAATTTTTACTTAAAGCACAACTCTTAATCTGATCCTCTCTTATCTCTACACTCGTCTTCTTTCACCCTCCACTTGATGTTTTCCCACAAGCGGTTTTAGCACAAAAACAGAAGAAGAAAAAAGAAAAGAAACAAGGCAGAGTTTAGTGAGTGGGGGTGGGGAAGGAGATAAATCCATCCTCAGCTTTGTGTGTGGTCCTGCTCCTTTATCGTGACTCTGAAGTGTCAGCAAAGATAGGGAGCATGATTTTCTAAGTGAGCAGTTAGTTATCAGGTTGTGTGTTCTGAGCTATTAGATCATCAGAGAGAACGGTTTAAGTCTGAGCAGCACAAAGACAAGAGGAAGAAGAGGAGAGGAAGAGCAGAGGGGGCAGGGGCAGAGCTGCTATCAGTGGCCTGTGGTCTGTTACCGCTGATAAGGTGGATCACAGGAGGAGGATGACCTATGCACACACACACACACACACACACACACACACACACACACACACACACACACACACACACACACACACACACACTTTGTCCTTATTACAGGCATTGATATTTACTTAATAAACACATTTAGCAAAGAACATTTTCCCTAAGTACATTTATCCGTATAAACCCTCAAATGATCCACTATTGACCTCAGTTTTATAGGTTTAACCAAAGTGAACAAACGTTAGAATCCCAACAGCTCTGCACAGAAAAAAAACTATTTTTTTGTTTGTTTTTAAAGCCCAAGAGAAGCAAAAGGGATCTAAAGAGAAACTAGAAAGGTAAAATACTGAAAATGTAATGGGTTGTACCAGTAAAACCTGAGAAATAAAACAAGAATAGGATAAAGTCATGCAAAAAAGTAGTAAGGCAACATGAACAGTATTTAAATGAATATTTAGATTTTTAAAGGTTAATTGAGTAATCTCCTGAGACCCTAGCTTTGTTTACTGTGCATTTTTAATTTCCCCTAGCTATTTAGGATTAGTAGGACTTCTTTAACATAAAAAACAAACATTGTTTGGGTACAATTAGTAGGTCAAACCTAAAAAAATAAACATAAAATAAATAAATAATGCAATGCAGGAAGCCAGTATCCTTGTGTGATGATGCATGATAAATTACAGCAGGTGTGTGTTAGTTTTAAAGTTCGCCAGCCTTACAATTTACCAACCAAACAGCAAAAGGAAGCACCCTGTCTCACGGAAATCACTGCAACTGAGCTGCCTGCAATGTCTCATTAATAATCCATGTTTTCCTTTCAGGACTTGACGACATCACCATGAAAAACATTTGCATAATGCCTGCTGATTGGCTCCTTTGGCAGCCTTTCATAGAAAGCACAAGCAGCTGGATCTGCACCATTCCTAAATGATCAACCAGTCGATTGTTAAAACTATTTTCAGGAGGGAGAAAAGCCGACTGAATGTTTCATCAAAGGGTGGTTGGGAGAAATTCCTCTTTCAGAACATAAGTTAAAGCAGAAGCATGAACAAAAACCAAATGTCTGGATAGATGACCGAAGGAACACCTGTAAATCTGAGGAGTTGGCCCATTTCATTCACTTTAATTTAGTAAATAATCTTAATTCTAGGATTTACTCTGATTTTAAGGAAAAATACAGGCAGATATTGGCATTAAAATGTTATATCGGAAATTATTGGTACCAATGTTTTGCCTTTTATTGATAACTTCTTCATAACATGCACATTACATATCAAACTCTTCAGCTACTTTTATTCTCACTCAAAATGTCAAAATATGCTTTATAGATTAGAGCACATGTGTCAGACACAAGGCCCGCGGGCCAGATGCGGCCCGCGGAGCATTTTTATGTGGCTCGCGAGATAAATGTCAAAAATATATGAAAACTGACCCGCTGGCCGATTTTACCACAAAGACTACAACTCCCATGATGCTTTGCGGCATTCGCGCGGAGCCGAAGCGCCCCCTCCTTTGTGTTTTTCCAGCGTCTGCTGCCGGTCTCTGCAGTTCCGCTGTCTCGGACAAACTACACTCCTCTCACTCAGTGCCGAGTTCACTCAGCTGTTTTCTGACGTTGAAGCCTAGAAACGGAGATTCTAGCCGCTCAGTAATGTGTTCACGACTGAAAGAGAAAGTTTTCCAATTAACTTCCAGACAGAGCTGATATAACTCCAGCGAGCAGCGACACGCTCAAATCAGCACGGCTCTGTGGCTGCTGTGGTTGTGTTTCCTCCCCGACACACAACAACGTTGTCAAGCTGCTCAGACATGTTCAGCAGCACAAACCTATGTGAGCACCTGTTGTCATCTAATGTTGTCATTATTATGATGAAGATGAACAAAATAACAGGAGTCTCCTCCTCAGCTCAGATCAACCCCATGATGCAGGTATCTGGCTGGAACAGGTGAGCATCACAGTAAACCAGTGGAGCAAACTGAGCTTTAAATATGTTGGCTTTATGCTCTTTTTCTGCTCCAAAACATGAAAGTTAACAGGTGAGATGTTGCATTTTCATTCAAGATAAAATGATATTTTTATTTTGTTGTTGGCTCGTGAGAAAAGATTTAACCTACAGTAAACAGGAAGTGGAAAGGCTGCAGATAGATGAATAGAATAGAAAATCCCTTTATTGTTCCTCAGTGGGGAAAGCTAGATGTCACAGCAGCGAAGACACTTATTACAGGAGAACAAAAGGAGAATAAAACATAAGAAAACTGAATAAACAACAAGAAAACATAAATCCTGAATAGATTTTAAAAATGCTGATTATACCACAAGTAATGAATACCACTGATGCCTTTTATTTAAACTGACTTGCTCGTGTGTAATTTGGTTATTCCACATTCAGTGTTAATGCAAAAATAAGTTTGTTTCCAAATTTAAAGGTTCAAAATTGCATATATGTTGATAAAGAAAATGTGCCGCCACTTTTTAAAAAAATATTAAGTTTGGCCCGCGACTTCGTCCCAGAGTGAATTTGAGTTTGATACCCCTGGTTTAAAGATATTTTTGTTTCTTTGGCACAACTAGCCTCGCTTAAATTGAAGTAGTCATCATATTCTGCACAGATATAAGTATGAATGATTGGGGATCTAAGACGTTAGTTACCCCTAAAGTCAGGACACACACACGGCGAGGAGTCCTTCCAGTATTACGGCCCTCGCCTCTGGAACGAGCTGCCAGAGGACCTCAGGGCTGCAGAGAACGTTCATGTTTTTAAGTCCAGGCTCAAGACCCACCTATTTAGGTTGGCTTTTATCTAAATATTTATTATAGTTTCATTTCTCGTTTTACACAATTATTTTTATTGCTCGCTTTGCAAGTTTTATATGATTATATTTTAGCCCAGTTTCATTATTTAATAATATTATTTTTTTTACTGTCCATAAGATTTTATTTATTATTTATTTACTTACCTTTGTCATTTATATTAGCTCTTTTATTTTCATATTTTTACTCATTTTTATCCACTGTTTTCCCTGTAGGGGCCCTCTGCCCCAGGGGCGGTGGTCGACTGTTGCTTCCTGGGCGCTCTACAGGTAGTGTTTAAGTGGAGGTGGGGGTCTATGCTCCCCCTCCTCTGAGCGCCCTGACTTAGTGTGGAAGACCTGACGCTGCCGAGGCAGACGGCTCCTCCTATGGCGTTTCCTTGCCTTACCTTGGCTCATCTGGACTCAGCCGAATATATATTTTTACTGGTGTGTGTGTGTGTGTGTGTGTGTGTGTGTGTGTGTGTGTGTGTGTGTGTGTGTGTGTGTGTGTGTGTGTGTGTGTGTGTGTGTGTGTTAATGTTTTTAAACTGTTAGGGGAATTTGGGGTCATTTTGATTCTGTAAAGAATTTTGAGTCGCACTTTGCTAGAAAACCGCTTTATAAAAAAATCTGGTTGATTGATTGATTGATTGATTGATTACCCAACATTAGTTAGTTATTTATTTTAATGACAGGGTGGACCTGCATATGTTGGTAACGTAAATTGTTGCTCGTAAACAAAAGTAACAACATCACCGTACCTGTATATGGAGACGTTCTCTATTAGACCTGCGCTCTCCGTGTCTGTGATGATGATGCCTTTTGGTGAAACTGTCAGTGTTACTTTCCGAAACTTCTTAGCGCTGGCTCTGGCCTGTAGATGGGAAATACAAAAGACAACATAATAAATCTTCTCTAAAATTCTGAGCTACCATGCTAATCCGGCCTTTCCTCCAAAACATAAGCATCACATGAAGTCCGCAAAGCGTAGTGGGCTTCGTTATAGTGGGTGTGTTTACACTGGCCACGAAGCATAGTGTCGCATTGATCCACCAAATTTTCCCTTTGAGTCTACTTTTTTGGCAAAAAGCTTCCAGAACACATCAAACTTAGCTGTTCAGATACGGCAAGACAGGAAATCATACACAAGGGCCTTTTAAAATAAGACACATGCAGATTTTCTGTTGCCTACCTAATAAAAAATGTCTTAACCTGTAAAACCTCCGTAGCTGTAAACAGAACAGAAAATAAACCACAGATGTCTTGGATACATGCTGCTGTCTTTCTCCTTGCTTGTTATTGCTTGAACTGCCAAAATCACAGTTGCAATCTTACAATTCTCCAATGACTCCATTATCCCATGGAACCAGCAGCATGGAACGTTATGTGACGTTTACACATCTGGTGGAAAGGCCCGGTAAAACAGTGAACTACTCTCTGACAATACACTACTGACCAAAATCATGCAGCATGCTTTGTCCCAGAAATCTACTGTGGAATTTATAAAAAGCAACAGAATTTTCTGGGGGAGGTCGCAAACTTTATCCCAGAAAGAGCGCTCGAGGTCAGGCTGGCAGCCGCTGCCTCCCCCTGCTGCTTTGCACCATCTGGAGTGTCAGCAATAATCCGACCGTAGTGCTGAGCTATTTGACGGTAAGACAACCCATTGACAATGACAATGACCTCTTTATGCAATTAAATAGTCAAGATCAGTTTGGCATTTAGCTAATGTAGTTAAAGGTTAAGAATCACCCAGAAGGGAGAAAAGAGGAGAGAAAAATAGAAGGACACAACATCCTAATTTAGTGTTTTCATGCTTTTCTTAGTGTGTAAATGCTGTAGTAATCTTGTGAAATGATAAAAAGCCCATTGATGCGGATGCATTTTTCTCCTTTAGGCAAAAACTAGGACTTCTCAAGGACGCGGAACGGTGCCACACTTAGCTGTGGGGACCAGACCTCTCTTGGGGTGGATAAATAATGAATAGATTCTGCTTAAGCTCAAAATACTCATTCTGTGTTGGAAAATTAGACAGATAAGACAGGAAAAAGGTGCAGTGGCTGACTGCAGTGCTTTGGCTCAGTCATGTACGACTTCTGCTGCCGTGTTACTAATGTCACGCCACCAGGAAGAACTCAGTCTGCCAGCCAGAGATACGCCAAGCTCAGCTTCTTCTCTATATCCCTATGTCTTGTCTTATCACGTCTGATTGGAGCACGGCACAAATGGGGGAAAACTCACTAATATTTTTGATGTTTTCCCATATAGGTTTCCAAGGAAATGGACAAAAAGAACAGTTTTTCTTTTTCTTCTTGGTGGAAATCAGCTGAATTTGAATCCTTATGTTTATATGAATAAAACACCCCAGAAATCAAGGTCTTTGTATATCCGACTGACTGGATTAGATGCAAGAATAGATTTGGTTTTTTTAAATTTAAAACTTCAAGTTTGGGTGATTCCCTCTGCTTCTGCATCATGCCAGTTTTAGAATGCTGCAGATGAGCAATTCATAATGTATAAACATTATATATGATTTTCAATGTCGCTTTGACAACAACAAAAAAAAAAGAAAAAGGTGCAATCATCACCAGCGATGAGCACTTTTCCTTTGGAAACCTTCAAAATCACAGATCAAGACCCTTAAGTTTCCTGTTTCTCTGTGGTATAACGATATATGGAACTACAGGTGCTGGCCAGTAAATTAGAATATCATCAAAAGGTTGAAAATATTTCAGTAATTCCATTCAAAACGTGAAACTTGTACATTATATTCATGCAATGCACACAGACCAATGTATTTCCAATGTTCATTACATTTAAATTTGATATTCATAAGTGACAACTAATGAAAACTCCAAATTTGGTATCTCAAAAAATTAGAATATTCTGAAAAGGCTGAATATAGAAGACACCTGCTGCCACTCTAATCAGCTGATTTACTCAAAACACCTGCAAAGGCCTTTAAAAGGTCCCTCAGTCTTGTTTTGAAGGCACCACAATCATGGGTAAGACTTCTGACTTAACAGCTGTCCAAAAGACAATCATTGACACCTTGCACAAGGAGGGCAAGACACAAAAGGTGATTGCTAAAGAAGCTGGCTGTTCGCAGAGCTCTGTGTCCAAGCACATTAACAGACAGGCGAAGGGACGGAAAAAATGTGGTAGAAAAAAGTGTACAAGCTCTAGGGATAACCGCACCCTGCAGAGAATTGTGACGACAAACCCATTCAAAAATGTGGGGGAGATCCACAAAGAGTGGACTGCAGCTGGAGTCAGCGCTTCAAGAACCACCACGAGGAGACTCATGAAAGACATGGGATTCAGGTGTCGCATTCCGTGTGTCAAGCCACTCTTGAACAAGAAACAGCGCAAGAAGCGTCTCGCCTGGGCCAAGGACAAAAAGGACTGGACTGATGCTGAGTGGTCCAAAGTTATGTTTTCTGATGAAAGCAAGTTCTGCATTTCCTTTGGAAATCAAGGACCCAGAGTCTGGAGGAAGAGCGGAGAAGCACAGAATCCACGTTGCATGAGGTCCAGTGTAAAGTTTCCACCGTCAGTGATGGTGTGGGGTGCCATGTCATCTGCCGGTGTTGGCCCACTCTGTTTCCTGAGGTCCAGGGTCAATGCAGCCGTCTACCAGGAAGTTTTAGAGCACTTCATGCTTCCTGCTGCTGACCAACTTTATGGGGATGCAGACTTCACCTTTCAACAGGACTTGGCACCTGCACACAGTGCCAAAACCACCAGCACCTGGTTCAAGGACCATGGTATCCCTGTCCTTGATTGGCCAGCAAACTCGCCTGACCTTAACCCCATAGAAAATCTATGGGGTATTGTGAAGCGGAGGATGCAATACGCTAGACCCAACAATGCAGAGGAGCTGAAGACGACTATCAGAGCAACCTGGGCTCTCATAACACCTGAGCAGTGCCACAGACTGATCGAGTCCATGCCACGCCGCATTACTGCAGTTATTGAGGCAAAAGGAGCCCCGACTAAGTATTGAGTGCTATACATGCACATTCTTTTCATGTTCATTCTTTTCAGTTGGCCAACATTAGAGAAACAAACATTTTTTCATTGGCCTTTAGAATATTCTAATTTTCTGAGATACCAGATTTGATGTTTTCATTGGTTGTCACCTATAAATATCAAAATTAAACGTAATAAACATCGGAAATACATTGGTCTGTGTGCATTGCATGAATATAATGTACAAGTTTCACGTTTTGAATGGAATTACTGAAATATTTTCAACCTTTTGATGATATTCTAATTTACTGGCCAGCACCTGTATAAGAAAATAAGTGGCAGTGGTACTAATTATACACGTTATTGCTGCACATCACATATGCTCATGTCAAATAATATCACAGAAAACAATCTGTTCCCATAACTCACCAACATCAGGTGTTCGAGAAGTTTTAAAGTTTAAAACCTGCAGAAGTCAGATTTTATCAGCCTCTAGGCTTAGAGTGAACACAGAGTCTCATTTTGGTGAGAACGCAGACATGGGGTGCAAGACTGAACACAAATGCCTTGTTTTTCTTTCATAAAATGACAGGTTTGCCAGTGGTAACATTTGACTGATAACATTTCACAAAGAAAATAGTTTTTTGTCTTTTTCACACATTTGTTGCAAATTAGGAGCATAAACGTGCAGCTGTTCCACTTCTCAAAGAGTAGCACAGTGCTGCATAAGTGTGATGCTACGAGGGATTTTCTGCTATTTTGAGCTGCATTTCTGCATAAAAAGTCAAATTAACCCATATAATATCTGTTGTGGACAGCTTTAGATATTATTTCTAAACCTTAGACAGAAAAAAAAACCTCTGAAAATAAAAAATGTGGGAACCAGGATTGTATCCTCGGACACTAAATTCTGTGCACTCTGCAAAAAAAATCTTATTCATATAAAATCTTTGAAAAGTGGCTCTCCAGGAGGAGGGCATGCGCATGCGCTGACGGCCCAATCACCAGACACACGGCGACGTTTGAAGCAGATGGCAGCTTGTTAATCAACTTCCACAAACAATTAAGACACATTGTCGCCTAATTTACTCACTGACAACGCAAAAAAATGAATAAATCTGGTAAATATAACTCACTCAACCTGGAGGTAAGTGGAGAAAATTTAGAAAATTTGCAAATATATATTGACGAGGTTTTTGAGATTTTTGTCATGGGACCGAAGAAAGCAGCACCAGCTGAGACGAAACACCTGGGACCAAGAGGAGCTGTCCCCAGGACTCGCCCGAGGCCTCATCTCCCCATAAGGATGTCTTAGATTTACTACAGTCCATAGATAAACGGCTTCTGGGATTTGAGGGACGACTCCGCCTGCTAGACGTGCTTCACAAGGAGTTCCAGGACCTCCGAACATCTCTGAAGTTTAGCCAGGAGCAGGTGGAGCGACTCGCGGCTGAGAACGCGTCTCTGCGGGAATCGGTTTCCTCCTTGACTGCAGGACTAGATTGGATCTCCCAGGACAACAAAGTTCTAAAGGAGACGGTTCTGGATCTCCAATCACGCAGCATGAGAGATAACCTGGTGTTCGCAGGCCTTCCACAGCAGACCGGAGGAGAAGCGGAGGATTGCGAACAAACCATCAAGAACTTTCTCCACACCCACATGAAGATACCTGAGGAAACGTTTGGAAACATCACCTTTCATCGGGTACATTGCCTTGGAGCCAGGAGAACAGACAGCAGAAGAACTCATCCCATCGTGGCTAAATTTGAGCACTTTAAGCAGAAAGATCTTGTTAAAAGCCGCGGGAGAGAGCTTAAAGGTAAAGACTACAGCGTAAACGACCAGTTTCCTAAAGAAATTCTGGATTGCCGCCGAGTTCTCTTCCCGCTGGGCAAGAAGTTCATCCAGGATGGGAAGCGGGCTGTGATCTCCGTGGATAAACTGTTTGTTGACGGTAAGATCTACAAAGAACGAGGAGTAACAGACTGGCTTTAATAGACAAACTTCAGGTACAACTTTATTATTATTAAAAGCACTCACTGGGTTTGAACATGTCAGGATTTATAGCTGCTAGTGTTGCGAGTCCCCACATGCCAAAGACAGTGGCAAGTACGGGGTCAAAAGGTGAGCCACACTGGACTGGCTTGTGCGAGCAAAATCAGCCAGCCGACAGGAGCTGGGTTGCAGGTCAAAAAACTGTGGTCAGAAACAAGGGCCACACAAGGGTCACAGGGACAAGAGGACAGAACTGGGCGAAAGGTCAGGAGACTGACCCAACCTCTGGCCCCACCCCTGGCTTAGGAAAGATGGGATTGGAGGAGAACAGAGTGAAGACAAGCCCATCGGATCCAGGAGCCATCTCAGGAATGCTGAAGGAAGATCTACAATTTGCTGCAAAAGATGATGTAATGACCTGTGCCATTATGTAGAGTACTGCTTGTAATGACCTGTGTTAAGAAGAATGCTGCATGATACCAAATGTCTTGTGTTGAGCTACAAAGTGTGTGTCTGGTAAATGACCCCATGACCTTAAGCTGGCCCAGGAAGGGTATATAAGAACAGCTCTGAACAGCAGAGTGAGATTGAGAGAGAGCTGGGGCAGGCGACAAGAAGAGACAGAGCAGATTTGGAGGGGTCATCCCCCGTCCAAACCTGGATGGGGGATGACAGACTTTGGAGATTTCCAAGAGAGTTTTTGGGGAGATTCCAAGACGAGAGCTGGGGAGATTCTCAGAAGACAGGAGCTAGTGTAAACTAACTCTTATTTAATCATTTTGAACTAATTCCTCCTTGGGGGATAGCAGTTGTTTTTTATTTACCCATTTTTGTATTTTTGATTTTGTAATAAACCTTTTTTGAAAAAGAAACATAATCCTGATTCTTTCAGGTTTTCTCTAAAGCTTCACGTTTGGAGCCCTGGCCATAATTGCACAGAGGTAAGCATGTCGATCATAGGTCTCTGAATTATCAGGACTTACTTTACAGTTTGTAATAAAATAATATAAAGAAACCTTAAGATAAGGGGAGTTTAACTCCCCCCTCCTTGCGAGTAACGAGTTGTCTTAAGGGCGATAAAAACAGAATATTAGAGGTTATTTTTGGCTCTGATTGCAGGTTGAAAAAGTCTCTAACAGCTGGAGTGGTTGGATTAATAAATAAATTGATAAACTTATGATAGCCTGATCAACTAGCATAAATCATTTTATAGTTACCAACCTCCCACATAAGCTGTTAGAGGCGCAATTAATCCGGATAACCCAAACAATTGCTGAGAGGCTTGGCTTGCCTCCAGACTTCTCTCTAGTATCTTAACCAAAAGGTAACGAGTTTAAAAGAAGTGGACTACTCTGGGGATTGCTGTTCGTGCAAGTCATTTCACCTTTAAAATAAAAGACACGATTCTAATTAGGTGGTCCAAACCCGGGTCTAGTACGTTTAAACTCGCCAACACCCCCACTCGAACCCTGATGGATGCACCGTCTCATAAGTTCTAACGGAACCGGTAAATGGGACGGGCACGCGACACTAGATCCGTTTAGAAATGTTCACCTGTTCCCTCACCACCTCACACCCACAACACTTTTTCTTTTCTTTCTTCTTTTTTCCTCTTTTTAAAGAGCAAGTAACGTCTAAATTAACTTTTTTTTTTGCTGATGAACTGTATAAATGAGTGTCTAATAGTGTTTTAAATGTGTGTATTCATTATTTTAGCATTTTGGTGCATTTTCTTTAAAAATTAAAAATTCTGCCTAAATACCACAGTATAGCTCCACCTTCAGCTTAAAACATAGAATTTGACTCATTTTGAATAAATTTTAGCCAATGGCTAAAGAGTAAGATACTACGTAAACCAGTAGAGTACTACGTAGCAGCTCTGTGTCAACGTTATAAAAGCATCGGGAGTCTCGGCCACGCCTTGTGGCGAGTTGGGAGTTGGATTTGCAAGCGAGTGTAGGAGGTTAGCCGTAGTTCAGCATTAGCATATAGCATTAGCATATCCTAGTCTTTAGCATAGCTTTTAGTGTTATACATACTTATTTAGTGTTAGCTTGGCTGTTGGATATTGTAGTTTAGTTACTGTTTGGCTGTTAGTGTAATTAGGAAAGTAGTTCGGGTTTAGTGCTCCATATCGTGTTAGTATGGTGAGATGGTGTAGTGTAGTATGGTTGCGGAGCTCTGTCGGGTTGCACTCCTTTCCGCTGGACTTAGAAATTAGGCGCCAGTGGTTGCGTGTCTGGAAAAGATTCAGCTCCCGCCTGGTGCTGTAGTTTGCAACCAGCATTTTACCCGCGATTCTGCACGTCTCCGTTCCAAGAGGGAGGCTGTGCCCACCGTGGCTCTTCCGCGATTTAGATACAGCCCACCGACTCTGCTCCCCCACCATGACGGGCTCCAGTCTGAGGTGAGTAAGCTAAATAAAAGTTTTAACATCTTCTAAAGACAATTCCCTTCCTAAATGCAAAGTTTGAGAGACGTGGTTCACTCCATTTAGCTAATATCAGCCTGCACTGCCTTCGGGCTGATTTGTCAAGTTCACAAAATGTGGAACGGGATGTAAGGTTAGAATCAGCGGCGAATCGGAACATATCTCGAAGCCCTGGCTGACAAAACGGTCCACATGACTATTACTGTCAGGCTCGGAGAAAATTCGGGTTGTTTTTGTGTCAGTCGGTAATTCTGCAACAGTGACTCTGACGCAGCACTAGTTGACAGACAGCATTACAGCGTGAAATCCAGCACAGCGTGACCCGGTTCTGTGAGGAATTCTGTTCAGGAGGTCGCATTTCAGGATCTCCACATCATGTGTGACTGACTTTTACGTTATAATAACATCACACACTAGGAATGTTATAAAGTGCCTATATGGGACAGTTTCTTTTGTATTTTATCTGACTTTATAAACATCAATGTGCTTCTATTTTTTTTCAGGCTAAATCTACCCAAGACACTGGCTGTCAGACTGATTTAGTAGTCTGCAAGAATGCACTTGTCCCGGCTGACGTGGTGTTACCCGTAGCAAAGGTGAATTATTTTTAATAATCTTCTATGTAAACATTTTATTACCTTCTAGTTTTAATTTGTTTTACAGATTGTTACAAGTGATTTTATGCTCTTTTAAACGTTTATAAATGTGCTGCTTCTTTGTTTTTTATAGAGCTCACAGCCTCAGTGTCTTGTGACACAGGGACCATGACAGAAATTCATCTTCCAGAAGGTCCCAGAGCATCCACACCTCCTGAAAAGACCAAGATGTGAGGTGTCTGCTGTTGATTCCAGCTTCCACCTCAGTGACAGTGCAAGCTCAGTGAACTGTTCAAGGTAAAAAAATTAAAACATTTCTGAATTTTTAAGATATTAACAATTAAATAAGTATGTGATTACATCATGAAGGAGGCTACTGATTCTGGCCCTGTGACACTTGGTGGTGACGTGTGAGCTGATTCACCTGGTAAATAACTTTTAAATTAAATAATTCGTTTTTGCTATCAAAAGTAAATTAACTAATAACCTGCATTACTGCAGGACACTCAGCAAAATATGGACTCGACACCATGAGGCAGGCACACGTTAATAACTCTATAAGAGCACATAAGGTGAGCAACACCACATATTATTTTTATTACTGTACACTGTCCTGGATTTGTTTTCTTTCTGCATGATTTGTTTTCTTTCTGCATCTCATCATTAGCCTGGCTGATCACCTGATAACTCCTGTCATCTGGTTATGACAGCATGAGGATGTCCTCACACACCTGTAACCTATCAGCTCATCTGGCAGAATAGAGAGAGAAGAGACAACACCACATCTCCTGTTCCTGGAAAGCCTTCAGCCTTCCTTCGATGACTGAGAACCTCCATCAGCTCTGTCTCCTGTCTGCCTATAATTATTATAATAAATATTGTGTTTGACAAGTTTTTTGTGCTGCCAAATATCTCATTTTGATTCCAGTTTTGATATTTTAATGGATATTTATAAATTACATTAATTGAATTATCACATTGTCGCATGTTTATCTAGCTCTATTGTGATGAACTAAACTAGCACCTCACTGTTAAAAGCTTGTTTTAATTTCAAGCATGTTTAAGTATTTATGGACATGAACAAAAACAGGAAATATATAAATTGAGATTTATTTAATTAATATAACAAATAAGGGGGAAAGAGTCATTGAAAGGCATATTCTTCTGGAAGCTCCTGATCCTGACGACACCAGAGACCAGCTGCAGACACCAGAGGACCTAGAACCAAGAGAGCAGCTGTTATCAGTAAATAAATAAATCAGGGCAGTTTTAGTGAGCTGAACACATTACAGAATAATTTTCTCATGGGGTATTTTCATAACTTTCTATGCAGCAGACTGTAACTTGAGCCCAGGGCTACCGGAGAGCTGCTATCCAGCACGTTTCAGTGGTTTTCCTGCTTTAACAGGTTAGATTAGCTGTTAAGCAGCTCAGCTATTTGTTGCTGATTAAAACCAGGTGTGTTGAAGCAGATAAACCTCTAAAACATGCTGAATACTAGCTTTTTAGGGCCTTGGAGCCAAACCCTGCAGCTAATCCAATGCTATGGCTAACGGCTACTTACCATTCAGAGCTGGTTCTATTGGGTCGGTTCTGCTAGTTTCAGGCAACTCACAAGCTCAAAACAATAAGGCTCAGGTCCGCTTGTCTCCTCCAAATAGACTTGGTCCCTTTCTTCTCGAGTGTCTGGGTAAGGAGGGGGAGAAACGTCCTCCACTTCTAATAACTGCTCAGAGTGAAGGGAGCTAGCTTCGTCTAGTTAGCCATCGTCTTCGTCACTGCCGCGGCTCCGCCCTCTCGGTCCTCCAGGCAATGCCTACTAATGTTGCATTTTTTAAAATTGATACGTGGGTGGAGAAGGAGTCCGAGGCTCACTTAACCCGCTCTTTAAGTCTTTAGAGGCATCCACAGAAGAAGAGTTACTTAGCAAATTACGTAAAGCTAAATTAGAACTTCATGGAATTATTGACAAAAAGACACAATTTTTAGCACAAAGACTACGAATAGAAAACTTTGAACATAGTAATAAATCAGGTAAATTTTTAGCTAGCCAGTTAAAACTTTATAAAGAGAAAACTACCATATCTGCTGTTAAAGACTCAACCGGGAATATAGTTTATGACCCTGAAAGAATAAACAACACTTTCAGAGATTTTTACCAAACTTTGTACTCACCACAGATAAACCCATCAGATAACGAGATCAATGAGTTCCTTGACAGGATAACACTTCCTAAATTATCAGACAGCCAAGCTACAGTCCTGGACTCACCACTAACATCAGCTTAGCTCCAGGAATCCCTTAAATCCATGACTAATAGGAAAGCTCCAGGTCCAGATGAGTTTCCAGCAGAGTTCTACAAAGAATTCTGGATCATTCTGGCTCCAACATTTTTCAGAATGGTGAGGGAAATCGAAGAGAGCGGCAGATTACAGCCAAACATGAATTCAGCCAATATTAGTCTCTTGTTAAAACCAGGCAAATACCCTGCATTTCCTACCAGCTATCACCCAATTTCTCTTATTAATGTTGATCTCAAAATAATTTGTAAAGCCCTGGCAAAAAGATTAGAGAAGGTAACCCCCTTCATAATACACCCTGACCAAACTGATTTCATCAAGGGTAGACAGTCATCCACAAACTCACGTAGATTACTTAATTTGATAGATTTCTCTTACAGTAGAAACATAGAAACTAGTATATTATCTCTAGATGCAGAAAAAGCTTTTGATAGAGTTAACTGGAAATTCTTATTTGCAACTTTACATAAATTTGGCTTTGGGAACTTCTTCATAAAGTGGCTACAAACATTATACAGTTCACCCACAGCACGTGTCAGGACGAACGACCAAATATCAGCTAGCTTCTGTCTTCAGAGGGGGACCAGGCAGGGATGCCCGCTCTCCCCCTCACTGTTTGCTATTTTTATCGAACCACTAGCGGCAGCAATTAGGCAAACAACAGATATTAAAGGGATAGAGTGTAAGAAAATAGAACAAGATCAGTCTTTATGCAGATGATGTTTTACTCTTTCTCCAGAATTCTCAATCCTCTCTCACATTCAATAGAACTGATAAACTCTTTTTCGAGAGTTTCAGATTACTCTATAAACTGGTTAAAATCCACAGTTCTACCAATTAATTTCTCTTTTGTCAATTTGCTTAATACACAACTGGAGTCAGGGAATATCACATACCTGGGAATTAATGTCCCTCCCAAGTTGGCAGATCTAACCAAACTAAACTACATCCCACTTTTAAAGAAAATGGAAGATGATCTTGCAAGATGGAAATCCTTACCGATATCACTCATGGGGAGTGCTACAATTAAAATGATGGTCTTACCCAGAATAAATTACTTATTTTCAATGATCCCAAACAAACCACCAGCTGACTGGTTTAAATCTCTGGCCTCCTCAATTACTAAATTCCTTTGGCAGGATAAACCTCCACGAATTTGCTTAAAAACAATTCAGAAGACCAAAGAAAGAGGAGGACTGGATTGACCCAACTTTTATTATTATTTCTTAGTCAACAGGCTGCAATATATACCAAGATGGCTGCAAGATAACCCACTAGATGAGTCCTGGTTAGATATAGAACAGACACTTTGCAATACGATAGAGCTTTCAGACTTACCATTTATTAGCTCAAGCATAAAAAACATGAAAGCTTCAAAAGTATTAGTATCAGCACCTCTCTGACAGCATGGTGGGAGTATCTTAAAATGACAGAGTCTTCACTAGTACCATGCAGACACACACCTATCTGGACATTTTGCAAAATAACCAAATGATGAACCTTCCAGACTGGAAAAATAAAGGAATCCTATACCTGGAACACATATATGAAGGATTGGACTTCATCCCATTTAATAGAATAGTCTCCCAATTTGGAATGGATAAGAATAGCTTTTTAGAATACCACCAAATTAAATCTGTAGTCAAACAAAAATTTAAGCTCAATAAAATAGAATTACAAACACCACCAAGGGTATTAGACTTCTAGAATCTCAAACCCCCTAAACTACTGTCTAAAGTATATAAGACACTGTCCAAAATGGACGATAAAATTGCAATCCCTATTGAAAAATGGGAGGTGGATCTATCAGTTAGCTTTGACCTGAACTTCTGGTCCCAAACTTGTTTAAAAACTTTTAAAATGATCAGACATCCAATTTACAATTAATTCAGTGCAAAATTCTACACAGAGTACACTATACAGGTCATCGGATGTTCAAGATGGGGTTTGTGTCGTCTGACGCATGTACACACTGCACAAACAACATTCCTGACAATTACATTCATGCGCTGTGGTCCTGTCCACCTGTCCAGGAATTTTACTGTAGTAAGTGAGGATCTGTCAAAATGTCTGAAATGTCATATCCCAACTTCCCCCTCTCTTTGTTTACTGGGAAACCTGGACGATGTCCCGATTGAAACATCTTTGGTTCACGTGGTTCTGACTGCCATATGCATCGCTAAGAAAACTATCCTCTTGAATTGGAAAAATAGAGAAACTCTCTGCATTAACCAGTATAGAAATCTTTTGTTAGATCATATTACACTTGATATAGCCTCTGCTTCCACTTTAGATCAATCTCTCTGGCTCCTTTGATCGGTTCCATCACATACCGATGATGGGGGGCCATTGATATTGTCCTGCGGGATGATGTGGGAGGGGGGGTGGAGGGTCTGAGTTTGGAGTATCCGGATGTTCCCTGGAGGTGGGTTGACTGGGGGTGTCTGGGACTGGGGGGCCGTTGCCCCCCCTCTGGAGGTGCTTGGGTGTCCTCGAGGGGTGGACTACTGGCGGTTGTGAGTGGGGCCCCTTGGAGGTCTTGGCGGCGACCATGGGTCACTGCCTGGCAGCTGCATTGCCCCTGGGCGGGTCTGGGTGGGGCCCTGGGGGCTCGGGGTGTGGGGGTGGCCGGCCCCGTGTGGGGATCTGGGCGGGGCCTTGGGGGTCGGGTCCTGACATGTATGCTGCCGGGAAGAAGGCAGGCACATGCAGCAGTGCCTGGCCCAGGTTCAGGGGCCTCGGGTAGACCGTGGCTCCTCTGCTGTCCCATCACATGGGAGGGGGAGGTCCAGGAGGGGGAGGACCCAACCTTACCTGGATGTCCTATGTCTTATACATTCTGGAAGTTGTGCAAATGCAGAGATGAGCATAGATATTCTGCTGGGGTGGGACTGGGTTGGTGCCCTCGGACTCCGTGAGGCTCTGCAATGCTGCTGCTTTGGGCCCTGGCAAGATGGGCTGGGGTCTCCATGCCCTGGGTGGCAATTTGACAACAGAGGTGCCTATTGAGGCCAGTGGGGGAGCTGGCTCCCTGGAGGGCTAAGCCCAACCAGCCATTCTTCCCCATCCCCGCATATTTTTCTCCTCCTGCTCCCTCACATCATCGCACAAACATACACATAGGACCTTGGGGGGTGGACAAGTCTGGGAATGCGGGTATGGCTGTGGGTGCAAGTGGGGTGGTGCTGTGGCATCAGCTGGCATAGGCCAGACAATGCCCGCACTGCCTGCTCACCACAGCCATGGAATACACCTCATCAACACACAACACTATATTGGAGCAGGAGGAGGGAGACTAGGGGTCTTAAGTTTGGTTTATGCTTGACGCGTCCTCGAGGTCCGCACGGCTCCGCGCAGAAAAGTTGCGCCATTTTGCGTCATCTTAAGAACCACGCCCCTCCACCGCGCCTCCGCACGGCCCAAAATTTCCACAACGCGCACCTAGGAAATTTTCTAACCACCCGGACGGTCGGATGCGGAAAAACATGGCGGACCGGCAAGAACTAGTATGGCAAAGGTTCGTAAATACAGACATTTGTATGATTCAGCTCTCAAAGATCACCGTGATCAACATGTTGTTAATAATTCTTGGAGAGAAATAGCTCGCACTGTCGGAAAAGGCAAGGATGCTGTTTAAAAATGCTGGAATGCCATATTGTAAACAACAGTAATTTTTACTTCTACTATGGTGTAGCGTTGGATGCATGCAGTAGAGCTCCATGCTGCCCCGTTCAGTTTGGGAGAATATTGGCTCACCACAGAGGCAAGCCACATGAACCATAAACGCTGCGAGTTGCGAAGCGCGTTCCAGCCGCGAGCCGCATCACCAAGCGGAAAGTGAATGTGTCAAGCATAAACCAAGCTTAAGCACACCTCTGCTGTTGCTTGGCTTCCTGGGGCTGGAGGCTAGGAGGGAGATCTGGCCATCCAGTTGGGGTCTGGGGTGGTGGGTTGCTGTGCTCAGCGTTGGGCGGGGGAGCCTGCTCATCAGTACCCCAGCAGAAAGGGTCAAACTCTGGTAACCGGTGATGGTTGTACCCCATGTGCAGCAGTACCGGGACCAGAGTGAATAGGATGTGTATGGGGAGCATGAGTGGATGTCCGGCGTGCATTTTTGTAAGTCTTTGGTTGTATGTGCATGTGAGCATGAGGGAGGGAGTGTGTGACTGTGTTTGTGTATGACTGTATATGTCAGGTGGGGCCTTTGACTCCTCCCCTCTCCTGGAACTTCTTTTGATGATATAGATCTTCGTCTCCCCTCCCCCTGCCACACCTGGTGTGGAGTGTGGTGCCTTGGTCTGCCTGAGTGTTCGTGGCTCCCGGGTCAGGGGGTTTAAGATTTTTGGCATCTGCCTGATCAATCCCGGTGGCTGCCTGGTGGGGTCTGGGTCCCTGGGCTCTGCTGGGTCCCCGGCGGGGGTGGTCGCCCCTGGGTGCCGGGTCGCTGGGTCCCGGGCTCTGCCGACTAGAGGGTGGGAGCCCTGTGGGCTTGCAGCTGATATCTCCCGGGACTCTGCCAGCTGCTGGTTGTGGCCTCCCGGAGCGATCCTCTGTGTCTCTCGAGGGGGGCGGGGGACTTTCTGGTTGCAGTCTCCTTGGGGTTCCTGTGTTCTGGGGCAGCGCCTGGATCTCTGAGACTTGGAGCTCCCCTCCGTCTCCTACACATCTTTGGGGGCGGATCTGTGGTCCCTCACACTCTCTAGTGGACGCTCCTATAGAGAAACCTTCCATAAACAAGCACGTGGACACACACAGGTGCTCTCATGGTGCTATCAAAAGTATGGGCTTGGGCACGTTAAACACTTGTCTCAAGGCTGTCGTTGCCACTAAATGCACTATGATTTATTATCGTGTGATTGTTCAGTTAAACAATGTTGATTTTAAATTTCATCATCACGTTGACGCAGTGATAGCTTGCTCCTGATGTATTGTTGTGTGTCCCATTTTTTTCTATTTCTCTCTCTGCAGGTCTAGAAGCAGACTCTTGTTCATTATTGTTTATTTTTGTGCAACCCCGTGCCCCCTCCTTCCCCACTCTCTCCCCACCATTTGTCTTTTCCTTTCTCTTTCACCTCTGACTCCATGTCTGGTCGGAATTACAAAGCATTCAAAAACAATAACAATAAAGTTTTAAGTATTAGGCGTGACATTAAAAGCAGACGCTTTGATGCTCCACCTGAGAGTAAATCTGTAAGGCTTGTTACCAGCATTCAGACATCAATTCTGCTTGCTTCACAGCCAGACAGGACACACACACACAAATAAAAAAAAAAAGTGGCTCCAGTTAAACCTCAGCTCTGACTGCTGGCATGCAAAAGAGGATTGGACTGTGCCAGGGGAGCAGAATTCAGCAGAGACCGTGGCTGTTAGATAATCGTCCTCATGTCTGGGTGTTTATGCTCACCCGCCGAGCTGCTGCTCCTCGTTTAACGCCTGCATGTTCTCCTCCGTCAGAAAAGACAGAACACCACATGTTTATTGAGAACTCAGTTTGAAAGTAAACAGATGTTTTACTTAGTTTTTAAATTAAAAATTTTAGTAAAAAACACCCAGAATATTGCTCCTGAAAGTCGCTCTTGTTGCTATAATTTGGCAAAGATTAGCTGAGGACCAACTTTCATGCATTTACATTGATTATATTCATCTCAAAAGTGATCCCTGTGCCCAAGTATTGGCCTTAAAAGTTATGATAAAATTATTTAAATGTTGGCACGAGGGTATCTTCCATTTCAGGATGTTGTTAATAAATGTTAAAGCAACTAAATTAAATATTAACAACCATTATGAATGTTTATTGATAATTCTTACTAATAAAAACACTGCCAATGTTAGACTATGGCTTTGAATCTGAATGCCTTTAAAGGTCACAACAACGATATTTGAAACTTTCAAGTTTATTCTACAGATTCCAACAGGAAACGTGCATTAGCGCTAGTGAAGCATCTTATTGCTCATGATGGGATCATCCTTGACAACATGTTTGTCTAATGTGGGTACCGGTGTTGTTTTGCTTTTATTAGATGGTTAGGAAATACTGCTGAAAAATTACCAAAGTTGTTTGAGTGTCGGTGACAATTCTGTTTATACCTTTTATGGACAGGATTTCTAGGTGCAGCCAAGGTGTTGAGGGGATCCGTTTTGGTGGCCTGAGGATCGGGTCTCTGCTTTTTGCAGATAAGATAAGATAAGAACAACTTTATTTATCCCGAGGGAAATTCTTGTGTCATGTACATGCTCAAAGCAGTCGGAGAGACAAAGGAACAGGTGAAATAGAAATATGATATACAATATATACATTAAAAAATGATCTACAGTAGTACCATGTAGGATAGTGCAAAACAATGATGATGTGGTCCTGTTGGCTTCATCAGAACGTGATCTTCAGCTTTCGCTGGAGCGGTTCGCAGCCGAGTGTGAAGCAGCTGGGATGAGAATCAGCTCCTCTAAATCTGAGACCATGGTCTTGAATCAGAAAAGGGTAGAAAGCCTTCTCCAGGTCAAGGATGAGGTCCTGCCCCAAGTGGAGGAATTAAGTATCTCGGGGTCTTGTTCACGAGTGAGGGAAAACTGGAGCGTGAGATCGATAGGCGGATTGGTGCTGTATCTGCAGTGATGCGGGCGTTGTACCGGTCTGTCGTGGTGAAGAGAGCTGAGTCAGAAAGCGAAGCTCTCGATTTACCGGTCGATCTACGTTCCTACCCTCACCTATGGTCATGAGCTTTGGGTAGTGACCGAAAGAACGAGATCACGGATACAAGCGGCCGAAATGAGTTTTCTCCGTAGGGTCGCTGGCCTCTCGACTTAGGCTGCTGCCCCCGTGACCTGACTCCGGATAAGCTGAAGAAAATAGCTGGAAGAAAATTGATGGAAGAAAATAGCTGAAGAAAATGGATGGAAGAAAATGGATGGAAGAAAATGGATGGAAGAAAATAGCTGAAGAAAATAGCTGAAGAAAATAGCTGAAGAAGATGGATGGATGGATGGATGGATGGATGGATGGATGGATGGATGGATGGATGGATGGATGGATGGATGGATGGATGGATGGATGGATGGATGGATGGATGGATGGATGGATGGATGGATGGATGGATGGATGGATGGATGGATGGATGGATGGATGGATGGATGGATGGATGGATGGATGGATGGATGGATGGATGGATGGATGGATGGATGGATGGATGGATGGATGGATGGATGGATGGATGGATGGATGGATGGATGGATGGATGGATGGATGGATGGATGGATGGATGGATGGATGGATGGATGGATGGATGGATGGATGGATGGATGGATGGATGGATGGATGGATGGATGGATGGATGGATGGATGGATGGGCTAGTAGACTCACTGTGGCAACGATTCTGCGAATGGCAGCCGAGGCCATGTCCTCTCCTTTAGGCTGGCCCACCAGAGTCATACCCAGGTACTTCACGTTGAACATCATGCCCTCCAGCAGGGTCTCCTTTGTGTCCGTCCAGTTCTCCGGCAGCTCTGATGGGACAAAATGACACCTAATGATTAAAATGAAAAGTGATTTTCTTTTGCTGTAAACAAAAGGGGTTATAATCTGTTTAAATACCTGCACATTATGCACTCAATATAAACAAGAAGATGGACTAGATAAGCGTAGAAGAGGATGCAGCTGACTGAGTTAAATGTTATACCTGAGCCGATCTAACATCTTTAATCTAACATCTTTAACATATTTGTCAAAGCAAATTTACTTAAAGTTATAATGGAGGATCTTTTTCTTCTGAGTGGATCATCTGAACTATAACTGTCGTGAAGTTTCACGCAACGCCCTTTGCCGTTCGTGCTCGATCCTGGGTTAGTTTTCACTTTCTGTGCATGTGCATTCTGTTTAGGCGTAGAGTGATCCATTCATTCTACCTCGCAGTTCTCACAGAAAAGGCATTCAAAGTGAGAAATAAGAACAGAGTTTTTTTTAGAAGACTCTTTTTAATGATGACGTGCACTGAAAGCAAAGGAAGAACTGTTTGATTCTGACTGGAGAATAAACCTAATGGCTATTAGCAGATAAGTTTATTCCAGTGGATATACTTCATTGATCCCACAAGGCTACATCATATGCTATGGAAGGATAAACACATCACAAAAGGAATGAGGTGCAGAGGTAGACATACAGCAGTAGTGCCATACAGGTGGAAGAAGAAATAAGTAAAATAAAATGCAAAAAACTTAAACAAAAAAAGAACTGACCGTAAATAAATATAAATCTGACTTTGTTGATAAAACACAAATCTTCTCTTTTTGAGTGAGAGTGCTGCAAGGCCGGCAGTAAGCAAAGTGTGCACAAGGATAACTGGGCGTTCTCTCTCATGTGCATGAAATTCAGAAACATCCTCTGCTATACCTTTAACCAAGTTATGTCAACTGGTTCCAGTAAACTTAGTCGCAGAAATGTAAAAAATACAGTTTTCTACGTTGTTATGTTAATATTACTCCTAACATGTAAGTTTAGTGGGACCAGTTGACATAACTTGGTTGAGTAAATTCAACATGTCATTTTTACAATGTATTTCCCCCCTCAACAGAGGCCACTTTAAGCACACACATTTGTGTTTAGGCCAGTATTTCAGGTTACTAACAAATGTCCGTATCATATAACCCCATAGTGAGTGCTGAGATCCTCTTTTACTGGCAGGAAAATTAGAATTTATTCAGTTTTTTGTGGGTAAACAACATAAACCTCAGAAAAACTAAATGTCCACAAGCAAAAAAAAGCTGTGCATGATGTTTGTCATGTCCTGTTGTTTCCCACACCACACTGCCTACTTCTGTTGGCAGTGCTGGGAAATTGCAGCCATGCAGAGAGACTGAAAATACCTCCCAGCAACACCTGGATCCCTGCAGACAGACAGCAGGACAGGAACAAGAAACAAAGCTATGCAACAGACCATTGAGCCAAGTGATGCATAATCCTCAGCATTCGAAAACGTTACCTTAAAGAGGAAAAACTGCCCCAATAATGACAGAAAAATACTTTAACTCTTCTGTAAAAAAAAGGCATCTTTGACTTCCAAACATTCATTTAATTAAATGAAAAATTCCCATTTGAAATCACCCAATTAAATTAAATAATGTCCAACACTGCAGGGGACAACCCTGGCACTAATGTCTTCACATGGTCTGAGCCATCTGTTACTGGCAGACCCCAAACAGCCGTGAAGGCGAGCAGCATGCCCAGCGTGCTGCTTTCCAACAACTCTGAATTATTAACCAGTGTTCACTTTGGGCATTGCTTCCAAACCAAAAGGCACGTGGCATTATTAAAAGCTGTACAGCTTCCTACAGGTCATTTGGCTAGATGCTGATCAGATTTAGACATGCACAAAGGCTGTGCATTTAAATGTGGTGCATACACAATAATGAGCATCATTTGATGTTTAATTAGCCCACAGGAGAGAAACCTTTGGATTTTGTTTCCCGTTTTCTCAGCAGGTAAGGTTAGAGTTCAGCCGCTATAGCGACAGATCAAAGATCTGAATACTTTTGTTAGTTTTTCTAAGTAACAAAAACACATAAACACGTCAGAATGATGGATGATGACGATGATGACGACACTGGATGATGATCATGATAGATGATGATGATGATTATGATGACGACGATGATGAATAATGATAATAATGATGGACAAGACGAATGAGTATGATGACAATGGGGATGATGATGACGATGATGATGATGATGGACGACGACGATGATGGTGATGGACGACGACGACGATGATGATGATGACGATGGACGACGGTGATGATGACGATGGACGACGACGACAATGATGATGATGGACGACGATGATGATGAAGAGTAATGATAATGATGATGCCAATGTGGATGATGATGATGGATGAGGATGACGACAACGACCGTGATCATGGACAATGATGACGATGATGATGGACGATGATGATGATGACAGACGATGATGATGACGATGATGATGGATGATGATGATGACGATGATGATAATGATGATGGATGAGGATGACGACAACGACCGTGATCATGGACAATGATGACGATGATGATGATGGACTACGATGATGATGACAGACGATGGTGATGACGATGATGATGGACGATGATGATGGACTATGATGATGATGACAGACGTTGGTGATGACGATGATGATGGACGATGATGATGACGATGATGATGATGGAGGAGGATGACAATGATAATAACGGTGATGGTGATGACGGTTATGGGTAATGACAATGGACAATGATGACGATGATGATGGACGATGATGATGATGATGATGATGATGATGATGATGATGATGATGATGATGATGATGATGATGAAAATGATAATAGCGGCAATGATGACGATTATGGATAATGACAATGGACGATGATAATGATGATGATGGACAATGATGACGATGATGATGACGATGATGATGATGATGATAATAATGATGGACAAGACGAATGAGTATGATGACAATGGGGATGATGATGACGATGACGATGATGATGATGATGATGATGATGATGGACGCCGATGATGGTGATGGACGATGACGACGATGATGATGACGATGGACGACGGTGATGATGACGATGGACGACGACGACAATGATGATGATGGACGACGATGATGATGAAGAGTAATGATAATGATGATGCCAATGTGGATGATGATGATGGATGAGGATGACGACAACGACCGTGATCATGGACAATGATGACGATGATGATGGACGATGATGATGATGACAGACGATGATGATGACGATGATGATGGATGATGATGATGACGATGATGATGATGATGATGGATGAGGATGATGACAACGACCGTGATCATGGACAATGATGACGATGATGATGGACTATGATGATGATGACAGACGATGGTGATGACGATGATGATGGACGATGATGATGGACTATGATGATGATGACAGACGATGGTGATGACGATGATGATGGACGATGATGATGGACTATGATGATGATGACAGACGATGATGATGACGATGATGATGATGATGATGATGGAGGAGGATGACAATGATAACGGTGATGGTGATGACGGTTATGGGTAATGACAATGGACAATGATGACGATGATGATGGACGATGATGATGATGATGATGATGATGATGATGATGATGATGATGATGATGAAAATGATAATAGCGGCAATGATGACGATTATGGATAATGACAATGGACGATGATAATGATGATGATGGACAATGATGACGATGATGATGGACGATGATGACAATGATGATGATGATAATGATAATAGCGGCAATGATGACGATTATGGATCATGACAATGGACGATGACAATGATGATGGACAATGATGACGATGATGATGGACAATGATGACGACGATGATGGACAATGATGACGATGATGATGGACGATGATGATGATGGGCGATGATGACAATGATAATAATGATAATAACGGCGATGGTGATGACGATTATCGATAATGACAATGGACAATGATGACGATAATGATGGACTATGATGATGATGACAGACGATGATGATGACAATGATGATGATGATGGACAATGATGACGATGATGATAATGGACGATGATGACGATGATGATGGACAAAGATGACAATGATAATGATACGAACAGCAATGATGATGACAATTATAGATAATGACAATGGATGTTGATGATGATGGATGATAATAACTTTTTGCTTTCCTTGACGTTGGATGTGTCACTACTAGTTTACCCGTTTAATTATAGATCCACTAGGATGAATACAATAAAGTTTATCTCACGCAAAATAGAATATTTACTAAGACATCACAACGTAACCGTAGACACATTGCTTGGTGTGTGTGTGTGTGTGTGTGTGTGTGTGTGTGTGTGTGTGTGTGTGTGTGTGTGTGTGTGTGTGTGTGTGTGTGTGTGTGTGTGTGTGTGTGTGCCTGCTCTGTCTTCTCGATCCCCAGTGAGTCGTGGAGGATGGCTGCTTATACTGAGCCAGGATTCTCTGGAGGTTTCTTCCTGTTAAAAGGGAGTTTTCCTCTCCACTGTTGCTTTATGCTTGCTTAGTATGAGGATTGCTGTATAGTCACTGACACTAGTCAGTGACTTGATGCAATTTGCTGGGTCCCTTATATAGGAAACATTTTTTTCTGATTGGCTTAATGAACTGACCTGGATTGGAATGTTTATTATGTGAAGTGCCTTGAGACGACTCTTGTCGTGATTTGACGCTATATAAATAAACTTGATCTGAATTGAATTGAATCATGAGGATGATGATGGTAATGGACAATCATGAACAATGATAAGGACGATGACTGACAAAGATGATGCTGATGATAATGTTGACAATGACAATGATGATGATAATAATGACGATGATGATAATGACAAAGATGAGAATCATGAAGATGGTGATAATGGATGATGATAGATGATGATGATAATAATGATGAAGACAATGATGATGGTGATGATGAT